ACAGGATAAAGAGCACCGTAAAAGGCCAGCTTATTGTGGTAAATAACCCGTACTACTATTTTCGTAGTGACAAGCTATGTAAGATAGCAACATAGCCATTGTGTACTAGCAATCTTATGCACTTTTCTACGGTTTCCCGGTTTCTTACGGTTTCTCTGCGGTTTTTTTCTATAACTAATAGAAACCTAACACCTAACGTAACGGTCCAGGCATTATAGTTAGATAATATTGCCTATCTGGGACAACAATGGGTCAGGAACCTCGGAACTTTTAACAGAAGGAGAAATCGCCAATTCATCAATGTACTTGAGATGGTTTAAAAAATCGAGGCCAACCAATTTTTATTGTTTACGACGAATGACAATTATCCGACCAATAAAAGAAATTAAATTACCCCTTTCGAGAAATAAACTCGATAATCAAATTGTAAATTAGTACCAAAACTCGAACTTGAACCAACATGGGATGCTCGAATGATCTTGGCTCTATTCGTACTTACTATATACACTACACCGTAAATTCACGTCTTCAAACAGGCTCTCCAATGCATATTATGTGTAAAGCAAATACAAACGGGCGTATTCCTCCAACATTCTGCCATCGTACCACACATAACACTCAAATGCTGCGAGTCTATTACTTCTCTCCGCCGTCTGACCTAACGCAACAACCAAAAACCACTTCATTAGTAAAAAGCTGCTAGACAGGTTTAGTTATAAAGAGCGTTACATACGCCTCTCTATAAATCTGTCTTCTTTTATAAGTAACCGGTAAGAAAACAAGCCCTGCGGACCAAGCTTCCGGCTTTATACATATCCGGAACGTGCTTCCCGACCGACGGTTGGACAACCCATATCTTCAAATAAATTCTGCTGAAATAGTTATATGTGAACGTACGATGATCAATTCATATGGATGGAGACAATATACGTGTAAAAAATCATCATTATTTTTACTTACCTGTAAAATTGACTAATCACGTCAAATTCTTCTTCACTGTTTACAATCTTATAAATTGCTTATTTTCATATTACGAAACCATTAAAATCCATGGTTATCACGCGTCACCATTTACAATATCTGTCCGATCGCGCGCCAAATGAATCATCTGTTCTTGTCAAACAGACTCTCGAACCATTGTACAGTGGGACTAAGTTTGACCCCTCTAAGCGCAAAGTCTGGTTCAGTCCCAAGTTTATAAGCTATATAAGCATTTCACCCTCCATAAGTGCAATACCTCTCTACGTGCAAGTTTCATCAGTTTTTTCCTATGTCTCCCGTCGAGTTGCACTTAGGGAGGTCTGACTGTATTGGCTCTTGCCTGTCTTTTTCTTTTCCGGTTCCTGACAGATAACATGCGCGTCTGTGTAGCACATGTTGCCATAGCTCAATTGTCTTTTGAAGATTCCTTCGTAGGATGTTCAACTGAAATTGATTCCGAATTATATGCAGCCCTAGAAAGTATTATGAATATGCTTAAAGCCCCGATCTTATTCTTCTCTCGTAGTACGCATGTCAGTTGGTGCGAAATCTTCTCTAATGTCGTGGTATGAAATCTTTTCTAATGATATTCATTGCGGACATGTGCGTGATACGTTGTTATAATGTGATCAGCTTGTAATGTATCGTCTCATCGGAGGAAAACGTGCATTTATGGGTAATAACGTAGGTTAGGATATTGTTGCTTATATTATATCTGAAATTGAACATTCTCAGAACATTCCGTAGCTACGTCCATTGCCTTTTGCATCATTCGTTTGTAAATCGACTTGATATAAAGAATGGAAATGTGTTGAATGGTTAGAATCGACCGACGCTATCTCGTCTGCGTGTATGTGTGAGAAAGATATTATAAATAATAAACAGTTGTTATAAAGCTGTGCTGAAAGGAAAAACTCACAAGTTTTGGATTTTTCATCATTACCCATAAGAACATTCCAGTTCACATCCGCTACTCTCTCCCAGGAGTAAGCTGCCCAGTTTTTAATATCGACGACGCTTCGTAGTCGTCACGTTTGACGTTCCGCGCGCGAGCATGCTTTCAAAACGTTCTGCACTACTATGGTGTGACATCCCGCTCACTTCACCAAGATATTCGACTAATTTATGATCGTCGTCTGCCCTATTAGAATATATGGGTTAGACTTTGCGACGTTACTTTGGTTAAGCAGATAGTAGTATACGCTAGTTATCAATAAAAATCTCTTTCGCTCACTTACACGTCATGGAATATTCCCAATACCCGTCTGAAAAAATTGATACAAACCAGCCGCAGGCTGTGCGGCTGTGTGGCGGGAGCTAGCCACTCAAGGTGTTTTACGCTTTGCCCGAAAGCAGTTGAAGACGCTTCTCGAACTATTTGGTTCGATGTTCGTTCTATATCCTGGGGGAACCTCCTGACAGTTTTTCCGAGACTAAATTGTGCAATCGAAAAGTTTGAGTAATCAGTGGTTACAGCAACATAAACTCAGTGACGATGTTCGATAATACAGGGACATCTAGTTACCTTCTAAAAAATCGAATTTTTCTTTTCAAGAGTGAACACAGTCTGATCTGTAGTAATAACGCAAATTCCATTATAAAGTGTATTAGTTAATTGATTTAATTGCGCAAAACCACGTTACAACTTAAATCAAAATATAAACGTACAATTGACCAGGACCAATGGAGCGCTGAAAGTATCACTCAACCTCTCGTCCAGTGAATCAGCTGGAATTCTGGTCTCGTAAGTATTGCGAGTTGGGACGTCTTCGCAACTATGGTCATCGGGTAGTCGTCCGGACTACGAATAATTCAATTTCAGGCATGCCACTAGCGCATGGAAGGACACAAATTTTGCTTTAAAAAAGGACTTGTTGACCCGACTCGTCCCAGATTCTATCGCCACCAAGTTTGACCGAACAGCAACAGCCTTTGCAAGTGGACCCGATTGCCTAAATTGTAGCCGAAAATTTCATTCGAGAATCCTGCCGAGCTAACTGCTGTTTTTTGGCCTCTTCTGAGCCGACTTTTGCTCATCTGTCAGACGGACCCCGGTATCGTAGTCATCATCGAAACGAAAAGGTGGTTTGGAGATGCCGATGATTGATTGAGGTGGAAAATGACGGGCTGACGATTTGGAAAGAACTGGTGGTCGCGAAGAGGGCGTTTTTCTGTTCCACAATCTTGACGGTTTTCGTTAAAACGTAATTTCCAGTAGACGAATGTTTGACGGCTGTTATTACGAGAAAGGGATCTCTTCTCACGTTCTTGATCAAATTTTTGAAAGGTTAGTGCTGCCTAGGTGGAACGAAAATGACCATAACAAACGCTCGCGTCAGGAGCGACATCTAGAGGTGTTAAAATGAGGCGGAGCGGACCTAGATGTTTTTAAAATGCCATATTATGTCACAATTTAAGTATTATACTGCATATGATGACTGCAAATTAATATATTACCACAATCATTTCCAGCATTCTAAGCTTTTCCATGGCTTCCGTTTGATGTCACGTCTCTTGTCTCCAGTCATCGAATTATCTGAAAAAGGACAAAGAATTAATGTTAAATGACTTGGGCTAATTTAATCGATGAGCAAGTATGGACAGAGTATTATATACATAAAGCCAGAAGGAGCCTCTTCTTCCTATATCAAATCTCTTTCGACAGTTTTCGTGTTGGATATGGAGGAAAAACGTTTGCATATATCAGTCCCTCTATTACCTTAACAACCAATAATTTTATCAATTTCCCTACGTCTAAATTGCACGCGACAAATAAATGCTAGTGCTGGTATTATGAAATCGCACATTATAAGCATATTTACCCTATGGAAATGATTTCAACGTGAAATTCTTCTTCCAATGCCTGTTAACGCGAAGAGTAATAAGCAACAAGTCACAGATATTTGCGCGTTTCTTTCGATTGTTTCTGTCTGTTCAATAGGTGATTATGATAACTTGCATACTACTTTAAATTATCCAATCAGAGTGCATTAGATAACTTTATCAAAGAAATATCGGTGTAACAATAAAACATTACACAGTAGCTTTAAACAGTAGCCCAATTTTGTATCAACAATCAATGGGATTTAAGATCCAATGTGTGGTTTCAGCATCAGCATCAGCCGCGATGATTTATCTCATCTTCTTGACGAACCTGACATCACAAGCGGCAGCGAAGGCATACCGAACTCAGCTCGAGGGTGCCATAAAGAGCTGTAAAAGCAGGCACATGAAAGAAACAAAAAACTTGAAAATGTATTAAGAAATTTTAAAACAATCATAAGGTGAGTATTGCGCCGACTATTATTTTATTGTCAACAATGATGCCGAGCGTTGAGATGGTTCTGACATGGGCCCATGTCAGTACTTCAAATCCGGACGTGCGTCATGCATGTCCTAGGCTACGGAATAAAGGATGCCAGCTCTGTAGACATCGAAGGATACACAGTCAAAACTCTTTATTACTACTATAAAATTTTCTAATGACCAAAATAAATTTACTTTCACTATTCAGGCCCATTTTATACAAGATTATGCTCGGTATTGGTGGTATACTTGTAACGGTAGCCACGTACCTCGGTGGAAAGGAGATGGAAATGCGTGAGTTTTTATCAAGTATACCAGTTGCATTTTGTGTTATAATACAATCGACTGAAGTATAAATTTTTATAGGGGCATGAGAATGGGGAGCGGGAGGCGATGAATGACGGACTGGGAAAGCATACCAAGAATTATTTCCAGATGCGTAAGTTAAATGGTTCGATGACGGTTATGATAATAAATAATAATATCATTATTATTAATATTATTAATATTATTATTTCTAGAACGAAGAAGAGTGTGGATGTGCAGGCCATAGTTGAAAGACGCATAGTAATTACTATTACTATTACTTTTTTTTAATTGTTTGGTGGCATACATACTACGACTGCTACAACGAGCGACGACGGATGGACAATCTTCCCGCTCTTCCTCTCCTTTAAGCCAACAGTACACTCCATATCCAACCCCTCCAAACAATGTATGTGGAGTGTACTTTTATAAACGAAACACAATCCCCTTCCCGCAATTATCATTACTACCAAAATTTCCCTTCATCATCATCACCCGTCTCCCGTGTTCAAACGTCCTCATATCAAGAGGCACATCGACTACCAGTGGGGTTCCATGCTGGGGGGACCCCGAGTCAACAATCAGTATCAAGAGACTACCAGTGGGGTTCCATGCTGGGGGGACCCCGAGTCAACAATCAATATCGAAAGACTACCAGTGGGGTTCCATGCTGGGGGGACCCCGAGTTAACAATATCAAAAGACTACCAGTGGGGTTCCATGCTGGGGGGGGCCCCGAGTTAACAATATCAAAAGACTACCAGTGGGGTTCCATGCTGGGGGGGGGCCCCGAGTCAACAATCCCCACTGATCAGTATCAATAGACTACCAATATCAAGAGACTACCAGTGGGGTTCCATGCTGGGGGGACCCCGAGTCAACAATCACCGCTGATCAATATCAAGAGGACATTGACAGCACGCAGGATGAACGAACAATATGTATGGAACTGAGTGGTGTCAACGTTCAGACGGTGAAACGAAAGAAGCGATAACAAATTTAGATAAATCAAATTTAACACTGTATATGTATGGGTTGATGCTGAATTAAATATTACAATAAATTCGCTAATGTAGACCCCACGCTTTTTCCAATTGATTCGACTTGATCTTTTGCATTGATTAGGGAAGCAGC